GTATGTGCTTGTCTTCGTATGCCAGGTGCGAGGTCTGGGGGATGGCACCTCGTCTGCTGCTACACAAGGTGCCCCTTGGGCCTGCTCGTGAGCAACCGCCAGGGAGGGGGGGTCAAGCCTGACCAGGCCAGGTCGCTATCCTGGCCAAGCGAGGGCTATGCAGGGTCGGTCCAGGTCTGCAGTTGGCGCACCCTTCAGTGGGAAGCGGCCTGGGCGGGGGCCCTTCGGCTCCTCCCCCCACCCCTTCGGCTCCGCTCCCCACCCCTCAAAGATTGACCTCGTGGCGGACCTCGCGCGAGCACGATCTCTGCAGCTCTTGAGAGGCTGCGACCTCGCGCGCGTTGCTCAGGCGGGCGTGGGGCACACACGCCTCGCCGCACGTGCCGGGATCGGCGCCTCGATCGACCTCGATGGATCGATTCGACCTCCGAGGGCCCTGGGAGACCACCCGCAGCCCTCCGATGGGCGCCCCGAGAGAGCTCGAGCCTGGCCTACAGTCGGACCGAGGCATAGGGTCGAGGTCGGTTCGGGGAGGGTGCCCTCGTGTCCTTCGTGCTTGGTCGATGCCCTTTGTTTGTGTATCCCGGGGGAGGGTTGCCCTCAAGTGATCTTATGTTTTTGGGGTGTTTTGGCCGGTGGAGGGTCTCATGGTCTTGAAGGGTGCTCTTCTGTCCAAGGTCTGGCTGGCCCTACTCTGGATCTCCATCCACCATTCAATCGCCCCCCTCGTCGTCGTCGTCGTCGTCGTCGTTCTCCTCCTCCCCCCCCTCCTCCTCCTCCTCCTCCTCCTCCTCCTCCTCCTCCTCCTCCACTTCCTCCTCCTCCTCCTCCTCCTCCTCCCCCTCCTCCTCCTCCTCCTCCTCCTCCTCCTCGCCCTTCTTGTTCGTGCTCAGAGTCTGAAGGTTCCCCCACGCCCCAGGATCGACACACGTCCGCCTGTAAGACCCCCCCGCCCACGGGCGGGACCCCCCCGCCCACAGGCGGCCGAGGCCGCCCGATCGCCCCACGGGCCGACTTGGGGGGGGGGGCGCGTGCGCGCGCACGGGCGGAGGATCCGCTGGCGTGGGGCCGCGTGGCCGCGGGGCTCCCGAGGGCGCCACCGTCGCCCCACGGGCGAGAGGGCCGTCGTCGTGGGAGGAGGAGGAGGAGGGGAGGAGGAGGGGAGGAGAGGAGGAGAGGGAGGAGGAGGAGGAGGAGGAGGAGGAGGAGGAGGAGGAGGGAGGAGGAGGAGGAGGAGCAGGAGGAGGAGGGGAGGAGGAGGAGGAGGAGGAGGAGGAGGAGGAGGAGGAGGAGGAGGAGGAGGAAGAAGAAGAGGAGGAGGAGGTGGACCAGTGTAAGCCCACGACGCATCAACACACCCCTCTTCAAAGTTCCCGCTGCATCGGTCCCTGAATCGAGTTCTTTCCATTGCGGGGAGTGGCCCATTAGAAGACAACCGTCTGATAATCCCCAATCGTGCCAAACCCAGTTCCTGGGACTTCAGCGCCGCGGATCAGCGTGTCTGCTGGGTCCTGACAGTCCGAAATCGTGCCATAACGCTATTCCTGGGACTTCAACATCGCGAATCAACGCGACTGTTAGGTCCTGACATTCCTAAATCGTGCCAGAATTCAATGTCTGGGACTTGGACCGTACACATCCTTGAAACTGTCGGATCAGAAATAATTGCGCGGCGCTTTGGCGAGAGCCACATGCTGATAACCACCCGCCCTCAATCCTTGAACTTGTTGTACCCTGTAAAGACGAACTCTAGCGGCGCTAAGGCGAGAGCCACATTTTGAAAAGGCCCGTCCTCCATCCTTGAAGCTGATGCGCACTTTCAAGATGAATGTGAACGGCGCTACGGCGAGAGCCATATTTTGATAACAAGCCGTGAAGCTGCTGCGAACTTCAAGCTGCAGGACCATAGATGGCGAGCAATTGTCAGGCGAGCCGTCCGGCCCTCCCTACCGACACGTCTGGGGGTGCGACAGGGAGGAGTTGTTGTGAAGGCTTTACGGCTGATGCCGCCGACCCTGAAGGAAGAGCCCGAGGTGTTTGGGAGTCAGGACTCGAAGGGGAAAGCTTCTCCCAGGGAGGGGTGCTCCCCCACGGGGGGGGTCACAATGGTCACAAACCTCGGGACCCCCGCCCCTACCTCCCCCCTCTTTACCCCTCCCGCGGGGAAGGGATCAAAGGGACGGGGCTTCCCTTCGACTCGAGTACGACGTTGCTCGATTTCTCCTTAGTCTGGGACGCTTGAAGAGGAGGGCCAACGGACAGGGACGGGAGGGAGCGGTGACTGCGACAACGACGACGAGGACGACGGCTCAAGCGGAAAAAGGAAGAGGGATGGAGGGTGAGGAAGAGGGGGATGGGGGAGGAGGAGGGGGAGTGAGTGAGACCAGTCGCAGCAGCGAGTTCGAGACCGATTGCGAACGGCCACGTGTGAGAAGCTTGGCCTTGCTCAGAGCCTTCGGCCATCTATCGGTGTGGAACCGATGTAAGTACTCACGACGGCTTGCATTCGTATCCCCAAGACAACTGTGTCTCATATTAGATTTTGGCTACTAGCGTACAAAAAAAAAACGCAGCTCGCACAAGACCACAGTTGGAGCTGCATGTGCAAATGCATATGGTGGCTACTGCGTATCCAGTCCCCCGAGATACGCAGGCGAGCAGAGATTGGGAGAGCGGAGAATCCCCCATCCACAAAACTCGGCGGGGAGCACGCGGACTCCATCCCCTCGGCAAGCGCGGCGAGCGACGCAGCACTCAAGGCGTCCCTTTCCAGAGGCGTCCACTGCGTGACGAGGTGCGAACAGGCGCACTGCAGCAGGAGGTGGGGGCGGGGGAGGAGCAGGCGCCCTTCTCCTCGGACGCTCACTTTTCTCCAGCTCGGCTTCGCAATCGAGCGTGTCCACCGTCGCTCGAGTCAATCTTTCACGATCACGGTAAGCCTGCTCTCCCACGGTAAGAGCACGAACGCGCACACCTCCGGGCACTCGGCACCTCGCCGCGGCACCCCCCGCCACGATGGCAGCCACGGTGTTGTCCACCACTAATCGCCAGGGCGTCTTGGAAGAGACCATCTGGACGCCAGACTGGTGGGAATGCACGAACAGGACGGTGCACATGTCAGCCTCCCTTGCTGGAAACTCTTGGCCTACAAGGTGCCAAATGTCCGTATGCTCTCCGACGGGGTGAACATATAGTCTCGCACTCCGGCCGTCTGCAACCATAGCATTGTTTGTCACATAACTTGTCCGTCCACGATAGCAACGAAGTGCACCAAGAAGGGCGTAACTCTCACCCCTGGGCACGCTCTACCATGGCCCTGGGAGCCCTCCCGACACCGTGGCTTCCACCATGAAGGGATCGAGCGAAGTAAGATGCACCACCACTGAAAACCCAACTCTCCTGAAAGGCGGGTCGGCCGAATCGCCCTCTCCCCCCCCCCGCTGGCATCGCCGAAGAACCATAACAGTGAACTCCAGCTGCCCTCGCCGATCGTGGTGGAGTCAACGCAGTCAATGCCAGCCGCCTCACCTGACAACAACCACTCCTCCTGATCTCTGGCTGGTGGGCTGGCTGTCCACGCTGATGGTTTGAGGAGGAGGAGGAGGAGGAGGAGGAGGAGGAGGAGGAGGAGGAGGAGGAGGAGGAGGAGGAGAGGAGGAGGAGG